TTTATAAAAACTTCATAGTAGAAGATGTTTTCACTGGAAAAATACTCTATGTGCAAATAGACATATGAAATTGATATGGAATTCTTGAGGTAAAATATTTACACATAGGCAAAACACCCTGACTAGTTCTGCAATGCCTGACTTGAAATTGATTTGTGGAACATTTCCATCATGCTAATAATTTTGTTGAAGACAGACAGTGAAACTTGGCCAAATACATGTTCTCTACATCTCAGTGAGAATGTGGTCAAATAATATTGACCTAGAAAGCCTCTTGCTTCTCAAACATACAAATCCATAAGGACTGCTAGGAAACTCTCTTAGTCACCAGGATATCTAGTTTTCTAGTCAGTATAAGAACATGTCCTTGCCTGATGAATGCTGAGAGGGCCAGGCAAACATCATGACAGCCTGCCATAACAATTCAGTTAAGAACTAGGCCTCAGTCCCTGCTTTTTGGAACTGGGCAAGCAGTTTCTGAGGAAGAGCTATGAACAAAGGTCAATCAATCTACAACAAAGACAAGGAGGCCTGGTGACCTCAGCCTAAACAGCTCAAGATGATAACCAAATAAGGACAAATCCTAGGACATGTCCTGGTCTGCCCCCAAATGGAAAACTGTAACCCTCACCAGCCCCTGACTAGTCCTGGCCAATTAGAATATACTAATATGATTGTCTCTTGCTTGAGCCAATCATATATAAAATGACCTAAGTGCCCTAGGAATGCCCCTTCTGCTGTGCTTAAAAGGAACACACACATCCCTCTTGGTGTCTTCACCATCTTGTCTTTGTGTGGAATGGCAGGCCCCAGCATGGGGGAATAATAAACGCTCTTGTTGATTGCATATGTGGATGGTGGTCTTTTGTGGGACTTCTCCAGGACCCTAACAAAGGCAAGTATCAAAGAAACCTTTCATTGGGAAGTGAAGTGAAAGACCTTCTGTGGACCAAGACATGGCCTGTGGTTTGGGGGATAGAAACATTGGTGTAGGTGTAAGCATCAGTTTTGATCAAAAGGCTATCCACCTTGGAAAACAGAACAGCATATTGCCGTAAGGTAGTCTATTAGTGTAGAGACTGGCAGTGGTTTGTGGAATAAAGGGGCACAGCAGACTCTGTGGGCTGGAAGGACAAGGGAAATTCAGGGAAAAGTCAAAAATGCATGCATACAAATCCAGAAAACAAATTCTTTCCATTCCAATCTTTGCTGGGTGTTTATTAGGAATCTTCTTTCTAGGAAACTGAAGATTTCTTCACCTACTCCAACTCATTCAACACTCTCTTTGCATTCCATCAATGCCACATGGTTAATTATTCATTCCTAGAGGTTTAACACAATTTGTGTCAATGACTCATAACTACCACCCTTTGTTTAAATCTCTCACTTACTTTGGGGTCTATATTTGTAAAATTTTAGTAATACATATTTCTAAAATACATATGCCCAAGTATCCTTCAGCATATGAGCTATCCTTAATAAAAAATGCCCAGTTCTGGACTCATAGTTTTAGACCAAAACATTTTTCCTTCTGAAAAATCCTCTCTCTTACTGACTTGCAAAATCATCAACAGAGAATCAGCTCAGAAATGTGGGACCTGTTCTTGATTCTTTCTTATCTTTTTAATGGATTATCAGACTACTTCCTTAACTTTTAGCATGATTACCTCTTTTCCCACTCCCAACTCCATAAAATCGACTTTCATCATGTACCCACAGTCTTTTTTTAACTACACTAACCTACCTACCAGCATGCTCCCTGAGCTCTTCTCATACTGACATTTCAGCATGTTCTCCCCAGCTTAAACTTTTCAGTTCATTCTTGTACTTGCAGCATCAAAATGCTCAATGATAATATTTCTCATTTAATCATAAAAAGTCTCATTTTAAGCAAAGAACTTGCATTAGGATGTTGAAATTTTCTTAGCACTACTTTTAACCAACTTCTAAATTCTATTTTAGATTTTAAAAATGCATGGAGAAGATGAAAAGATTATTCTAAAGAAGATGGTTCATGATTATTCATTATTTAAGACAAAAATTTTAAACATGGGTGAAATAATAACTCAGGCTTAACAAATATAATGCTTTCCTACTCTAAAGAAAAAGACAAATGCTTATACAGTGTGTGTTTTATATTGTAAGAAACTGTTATTATGTCCATGGTCAATTCACTGCACATCAGGGACAAGTCTAGTGTTTTTTTTTTTAATAATCCTTTGATTTGAAAATAAGTAAAAAAATCAAGATATAAGTAATCAATTTACTTGAAGTCATATTTTACCCAAGTCCACAAAAAATAGGCATGGTACTTGAAGATGAAGGTGGGTATGCAGCTTGGAAAGTGTGGCTTTAATCCCACATTACTATGGAACTGATTTCAGCAGGAAACAACTGGATGTCTTGCCTTGCCTGGATTTCTAGTGGTCAGGGTTAAGAAAAGGTGGTTAATTTCAGGTACTTGACCTGAAATGCAAGGTTATTATTTAAATTGTAAAGCATCTGTTTAATATGAAAGTCTTTCCACATAGGCAAAAAAAGTTAATAAACTAAGTTCCACCTAAATGAATAAAGTTTTTAGCATGGATTTGGATATAAAATCTGATCTATTCTGCCTTGGAGATGATCCTCAGGGAAACACCAAGAAGAGACACAGGTATGACAGAATGAGAAACAATCCCATTAGAGGTGGCATTTAACTCTGCTTCTCAATGCACAGGAATCTGAGATTGTCATTTTTGTCCCTTGGTTTTGTTAAGTTAAGACACTAAAGTTGGAGTTATATTCCTTTATTTGTCTATCCAAGTTTTTAAAGATACTGATCAGTTGAGTGATGACGGAAAGCAGGACTCTAGAGAATTAGCTACAATTAAGTCGAGAGAGAATCAGAGTTAAAATTGACTTTATATTCATAATTATTTTTTATAAAAAGTAATAACCAAATGTGTTTCTACAAGGTCATGTTAGTTTCACAGTAATGAGGATACAGGCAATAGATTGACCCTGAATTACCTGAATGTGGCTGTGAAGTAAGAATTTTTTATTACAATACTTCATAAAGAAGCAAATAGAAAACTCTAATATTAGGGTAAGTATGGGGATGTATATATTAAGGAAACCAACTGAGCACCTGGAAAACAGACTAGATTATTGAAAAAATATCTTTCTTTACAGTAGAGAAAATGAACAATGAAGATGTAAATAAAAACTAGCATTTTGCATATTTGTTTGGAGATTTATACCAGATATTATATAAAATCATTTTATTTTTTCAAAACTCTACTTCAGACTTCACTCACATATTAATGAATACCATAGCTTCCCAGTGTTTCTATTTTGTTGTTGTTTCTCACTGTATAACCCAAGATGTGTTCAGATCCTCCATCGTGGTATCTTAGTCTCTAGGCCAGGAGTTACAGCTATGTTCCACTATTCCTCTCAGTAAACATTTTCTTGAATTGATCCAATTTGATAGGACAATACTCTTCATGCTTGTCTCACTTGTTTATTCAGTGCTTTTGTTTCTTTAGCATACTCTTTTGGCTTTATTATTGTGAACATGACGAGACAACATAATAAACGAAAATATCTCATCTAGATAGGGATGATGGTTAGTTACAAAAGCACTGGACAGAATTCAAGGATCAGTAGAAGGCAAGCATTTTTAAGCCAATCATAAAGGCCTCTCTTTGGAGGTTAAATTTACAACAATCAAGGGAACAAATAAAGAGCAAGCCTCTGAAAGAGGAGCATGCCTGCCATGCATGAGGCATGTCCCGGCTGCCAGTGGGACCAGAGCTATGCACGAGGCACAGGACTAGGGATAGAATTGAAGAGATGACTGTATAGAGGTTCACAGGGTACATGACAGAGTATAAACATTTCTGCATTGCATTCCTGGGGGGATTAAAAACAGGTTGGTGACATAATTCATGTTTATAAATAAAACATTTCTCCAGAGTGAAAAACTCACAGCCAGTAGAGCCTTTCCTTGGGCCCCTGGTATACAATGGTTACTACACAAGAAAGTATTAGTATGGGCTAAGATAAAGACAGAGTTTGATATCAGCTATGAGACTGCATTTGAAATATAGGTCAAAGGAAGTGATTGAAATTTTTATTTCAAAAGCTGCATACATAAAAAGCTGGGATTCTAATGATAGTTACAGAGAAGTTACGAAATAGACAAGATGTGGGAAAATGAAGTTATACTTGAAGATAGATGTTGAATAATCAAGAATGTATATAATAATCAAGAAAGTATATAATCAGTTTGAAATATGAATATGTTCATGATAAGAAATATAAATGAGACAAACACTGGTGGGTTGATTGTAATTTCTTACATGAGAAAACATAATATTTTGGGGTTTTGTGGTCTGTTCAATAATCACAAATGTTTTCTTCTCATTTTTATTCCACCTCACATGATAACATCTTTACTTAGCAAAAAATTCAGTATTGTTCCTCTCGCATGAAACATAAGGTGAACACTAAGGTGCAGAGAGTATGCACAATATACACCATTCCTAACCATTTAGTAAAAAGTGAGTTGAGATCCTTTCTAGTCTGGAAAATATATTTCTTTATACCATTATTTAACCTTTCTATCCAAATAAAAATTGTAAATAAAGAAAGTGAATTATCCTTTCAGAAAAAAAAATACCTTATATGCAAGGTCAAGAAACTTAGCCTATGTTTTGTGGAAGTTATGCACTATTTCAAGTCAAATAAACTTAAGTTGGAAGCAAATATTGTATTTGCCCGTCTCAGAATTGGTGGACATTGTAAATATCACAAACAGCTTTACTCACAAGTTGACATATTTGTTGAGATAATACTAGCTACATGCAAAAGCATGCGATTTGAACGATAAATTTCAAACACTGTAATTGGTTAAGGAAGCAATAAATAGTATGGAGTTGCTGACTGCTAACAAATTCACGCATACAGGCAATATGGATAGACTAAAGGGAAATCTGCAACTGAGCATAGCTTACCAAGAGGCTGGCCTGCGATGACCCTGGCATTTTCTCCAGCCACCGCAGCTCTTGCATGGCGCTCACTCATGTACTGGACGAAAGCATACCCTTTGTGAACGGAGCAGCCAACAATTTTCCCGTACTTGGAAAAAATAGCTTCAATGTCCACTTTTTTGACAATGGCTGTATTTAAATTGCCGATGAAAACCCTTGAGTTGATGGACTTGGGGTCATTCTTATTGGTAACATTGCTGGTCTGTGTTTTGCCCGTCATGCTTGGCTCACCTTGTTTTAATCCTTAAACAAACAAACAAATAAAATAATCAGACAATAAAATAACTAAATTCAGTAGGTATCTCTGGCTTTGAACAGGTTTCAAATTGTCATCTGGAAATGCAAATCTCTGAATATAACAGATTGTCTTGTAAAGAAAAGTTAGTAATATCAAAGGTACACATCACTTGACTAAACCAGGTTGGGAAAATTCTCATAATTAATCACACACAATTTTAAAAAAAATGCCTCAGTTTTGTATCCAATGATCAGCCTCATATATGACTGAATATTTTGTACTCATTTTATTTTTAAGTATACCTATATTTGCTAAGGAAAATTTAAGGAATAAACCCTTTGATTCTGTGAGAAGAACAAAAGAAAATAAATGTTCACATGTTTAAGTCTGATGAAAATGGATATTTAGATACATAAGCACTTTGAAGTGTTTGAGCACAGGCAGTACGCCACAATATGCTCTGCAATAGGCACATTGGTTATCTGCTTCGGCAAAGGAATCCTATGGTCAGAAGCCAACAACCGATTCCATTTAAGGCTAAGGAAAAGAAAAAAGAACAGGTTAATATCAGAAGCTTGATTATGATTTTTTTTGGCAGAGGAAAGAATAATTAGTTCTGTACACATTTGGTTGAACCAATAATGTATGCTATCACAGTTAAATGTAAGTAAAAAGACATATACAGCCATTATTCATCAATACTTAGAAAATTACACAGGAATACTGAAGCTTTTTTCCTCAGCCTCATTTTTAAGTAAACTCAATGAAGCTTTTGTTTGAAGACATTAAAATCCATAGCTGTATTTACTGAGTGTTGATGTTTTGCCAGGTGTCCTCTTCTGTTTACCGCTATGTGAAATAGAAACCTTAGGAGGGTTATACTCCCATAGGGATGGTCATTGCGGAAGGATAGCCAATGGGTGCATTTTCTTGGGGATAGTTACATATCTATATGAAGAACCTATTTAAAATATTTCAGCTGTTAGTTAACAAGTGCAATTGATGTTTAAGGGTCATTTTAAATGATACTTTTTATTTCATTTTTAATCTAGAAGAAGTCTCAAAGTCACATAAATTGGGTATGCTTAAACATTCACTCACTATGTATATAAAAGAAGTGCTGTTGAAATCATGCACAAGCTAGTAGCATAAAATGTTTCAAATAAAGCTATTCATTATTACATCTGAGATTATAACTTTAATTCAAAATAGGCCCTCACACAAGTCATTATAATGAAGGTAGATCTAATAAACAAAACATTAAGTCATTTACATAAAAATAAGGAAATTATCAAAAAGAATGATTTAAGACTATCTTATATTATTCCAACTTAACGACATTTTACTTGTCCCTTCATTATGACATATTCAAGCTAGAATTGTAGAAATTAAAATTGATGCATTTTTTCCTAATCTAATGAAATTATACCTATTGAATAACTCAAGACAAAGCTCTGATAATGCAAGAAAAGTTAAAGTACATGCAAAAACATCAACTTCTTTGTATAATCTAATGTATCTTCCCTTTATTACTATACAGAACAATATTAAAAATATAAATCACAAAAACATAATTTCAATTATAGTTTTATGGAAAATATTTTCTAAAATATCTTATCTGTGATATAGTCATATGTAAGTAATTCCTATGGCTGACATTTATTTTATAGACAGGGACCTGCTGGTTAGAAAGCAATCATGGAAGCTCTTAGATGTGGTCACCTGGATGCAGTCAGATTAATGTTTTGTGGACTAATTCAATGTGCAGTTGCATTTACATACTGAGTTGCTGTTATGAATATCACTGTGCTATCTTTACACTATCTTTTACCAAATCTACAAATCTCAAAACAAATTTTAAGACACGAAATAGAGCTGGGCATAGTGGTGTACTCAGAACTGGGGACACAGAGACAGGCAGGCCCCTATGAGTACCATGTCAGCCAGCTATAGAATATTCCTGTCCTACATAGAAAGACTCTGAAAAATGTTAATTTGCAAACATTATTGTTGTTAAAGTTTTCCTGTGCCCACCCGGCTCCTGCAACATCATGGTCCCACAGCTGCTCAGACCCAAATGAACACACAGAGGCTTATACTAACTATAAACTGTATGGCCTGATAGCTCAGGAGTCTCTCTAGCTAGATCTTACATCTTAAATTAACCCATTTCTATAAATCTGTACCTTGCCATATGGCTCGTGGCTTACTGGTATCTTTACATCTTGCTTCTCGTGACAGTGGCTGGCAGAGTCTCTTCATTTCTGCCATGCTGCAGGTCAAGCCTGCCCCTCATGAATGGCCATAGAGTAGCTCAAGCCTTCAGGCTTTGGCTGACCTGAGAAAGACAACTAGGAAGCTGCTCTTGGCTCCATTATAGAACCCTTTTTTTAAAGCTTTCTCAGGTTTTAAGTGGAAACTCTCATCCCACATCTTGGCGCCACATAATTGGGGATGCTAAGTACTCTGCAAACTGTAGGCTTTTATCTCTCCCACAGACTGTTTTGGTGGCTGTCCTCTACCAGCCTGGATGACAATGAAAGCTGCTGAAGTTGTCTGTATTGTCATGTCAATGTTTTTGAAAAATCAATCCTTGGATTGGTTTCCACTACCCTGTTCCTACATTACTACTGAACAATCTAGCTTATGTAACTCTATTACATGAATTTTTGGTCAATTAAAGAAAGACTTGCACTTACAGTCATGATAACATAATGGAGACAAACACTCAAATACCTATAAAAACATGTAAATATACATGAAACATCTGTTATTCAGACAATACTTATGATTGACATGCATCTTCTAGGCAAGGATCTATGGGGTGACATGCAAGAACAATTATAGTAAAGCTCAAACTGTGAAGGGCTATGACATCTCAAAGAAAAGTAGGGCTGTAGTTTGTCCTTTTTGTCTGTCTGGATAGGTAAACAAGGTCAATTAGCAATGAACAAATCCTAATAGGTGTGGTGATATTTTATTTGTGCTGAAATGTGATATTTTATTTGTATGTTATTAAATAAAGATTTCCTGGAGATCAGAGGTTATATTGAGCCATAAACAGAAGTCAGGCAGTGGTAGCACATGCCCTTAATCTGATCACAGGGCAGGCAGAGTCTCTGTGTGTTCAAGGACACAGCCAAGCATGGTGACACATGGCTTTAATCCCAGTACCAACCATAGAGACCTGGAGGTCTGTATAGACAGGCAGTAACAAGGAAGTGATGTGACTGGGTTTAGACCCAATGAGAAGGGAACAGGAAGGCTGAATTGGGAGATGCCAGCTTGCCACCCAGGGAGCAGTTTGCAATGGCACACAGGTAAAGCCATGGAACACATGGCAACTTACAGATTAACAAAAATGGGCTGAGTTTAAGTGTAAGAGCTAGTCAATGGTAGGCCTGAGCTAATGGCCGAGCAGTTTTAATATAAGACTCTATGTGTTCATTTGGGTCTGAGTAGCTGCCACACTGTGAGACTGTGGGAGCCGGGACAGGAAAACTTCAGCTACAAGTAGGGATTACTGCAGGCATAGATGGTAGATTCACTGTCATGAGAAGTGAGAGACAGTATTTCAAAATATCTGAGAAGGCTAAAAATGATGAGGGAATCTTCTTGGCGTGAGAGTTAATCAGGAAACAACAACAACAACATCAAACAAACAAACAACAACAATAACAAAATATGAAGTCTGCTGAGAGAAGTCCTTGAATCTATGCTGATAGCTAAGACTGCAAATAAAGGGTAAGAAGTCAGGTCTATTATAAAGCTGTTGAAAAGCTGTGAGCCTGTGATTTAAAAGACCACAAAAGACTAAGGCTAACTCAGCTTCTTCCCAGCAGTGGTGGAGGGCCCATACTGACTCCTGGGTCATTAACATTATACTTGGAAGTACTGGGCGTTCCTGTTGGGTACAGATGATCCCTAAAATTTTCTTTGGGCTTAATGATGCTAAATAAATAAACAAATAAATAAATAATGAAACCATAAACCCACAACAGCAACATGATTGTCAACCTCTGTTACAATCCAAATGCATATCAGCAAAAGGCACAAGTGAATAACATGAGATTCACTGTCTCCAGGATCCAACCAAAAATTCCTTTAGTTTTATCAGTTTAAAAAAATATTGCCACTCGTCAATAGAAAAAAAAAAATTAAGGATGAATCAAACAAAAATTTTAAAGACAAAAACTCTTATTCTTAAGGTTTGAAACATACCTAATAGATGTATTTTACAGATGATATGTAAATTTGAAGCTATAAAATAAGAAATGTCCCAAATGCACTAAAAAGGGAAAACACTGAAAATGTACTAAAAAGCTTCAGACAGCTGAATGAGTGGTATCAGGCTGTTTATCATACATATATACAGAGTCCTGGAGGAGCTAGCAGAAAAATATTTAGAAATATGATGGCCCCAGTTCTCCTAAATTTCATAAAAGTGGTATCCAAGATCTGAGAATCTGAGCATATTCTGAGGAAAAAAATACAAAGAAAAGCACATGATTATAATCAAATTGCAGAAAGCCATTTCTAAGGAGCTATTAGACATTGGAAGCAAGCCTACATTCTGACAGAGAAATGGGGAGGAACAGACAAAAAGATCCTACAAAAGAAAAGACAGGAATGAACTTTTTTCAAGGGAAGGTTTTTTTGTTTCTTTTGTTTTTAACAAGTTTGCAGGGAGAGAATGTGTCTGTGAAAAATGATAAATGTAAAAAGATACAATTTAAACCACTGTTGCACCAGAGGACTTTCTGTGGAGGCAAAGGTAGTTGATATCTATGTTCCCCAAAAAGAAATCTAATCACTGAACCTGGCTTGTGACTATGTCAAATACTGCAAGCATAAAGTGGGCACTGAATTTTTGATGTTTACTTAATTTAAATAAGGTTGCATTGTGCTGGGTCGCCCTACTCAAAAGATTACCTGAATTTTGAACTTTTAATCATCTCAGCATATAATCAGAAATAACAATTATTTATACTCAATGTATGCTTAG